ATAAGAATCTTATCCCCATCTCCTTTCACCAGGTCCATCTAGACAAGATGAAAACTATTCAGTGGGGATTCTACCTTCCCCTGCACACTCTGAAACTAAACTCCCTTTTGAAAACTTGTATGCCAGTCACTTTGTGCCTTTAGTCCTCTCCCCACCCCTCCACCCCCCATTTTAGGTAGTCAGTGTCTAAGTTGCCCATCCCTATCAACCTTGTGTGCAGAAGGGATAGGAATGATCCTTGAGGTAAAGATTCAGTCCCTCTCAGTTGGTATTTTGAGCTACTACATCCATAAGTATAGGTCAAGGGCTTCAAGTTTGTAGCAATTTATACTTGTTTCCTTTATCAAAAATTTTTTATGTTCCTCTAGTTGAGTTCTGATCATCAAGCCATGGAGGCTAGTTCAAATGGGTACTATCTGCAAGTTTGAGCATTCTTGTGCATCTCCCCTTGCTTCATTTCAGCTGGACACTTCATTCTCAGCTCTAGCCCTCCATGGCTATGTCCTTGTCCATAGGCCCAGGAGTCCCCAGGTCTCGTCATACTTTGGACTAACCAGTCCTTCCTCTTTTCTCTCTCATCTCCAAGGTCGGCAGGAGTCTATGGAATGTGGTCGAACTTAGTCCATGTCTTCATTGCTACCTTTCTCCCACTTCCACTCACCAGTAGACCAATGTGATTGTAGCAAGCTTACATGCCTGCTTGTGTATTCCCTTTGAGTTTCAGTCTTGGAACCCCTCACTTTTGAACTGTAGCTTTCATTATATCTTCAGGTTTGATAATTTACCAGAATGACTCACAGAACTCAAGAAAACACTATACTTATGATTACAGTTCAATTATAGCAAAAAGGTTACAAAAGAACTTACAAATCCCAAAATGGGACATGTTATCCTACCATGTGTAATGATGTCTTTCACAGACCAGGAAGCCCATTAGCTTCAGTGTCCAGAGGTTTCGTTAGGGTGATCTCATTACATAATTCAAACCCAAACCCCTCTACCTTGAGGTTGATCAGTATCACAAGTTTGATACCATACAGCGAAGCTCTCTGGCCTAGCCAATCACTACCCAAGAGTCACTTCGTTAGCATAATCTCTTAGGTTATGCATTGGAACCATCATCAAAGACCTCATAATGTGGTCTGAAGTTCTCTTCTAAGATTTGATTACTAGAGAAAGTCCAAGGTTTTAGAGTTCTCTCTCAGGAACCAAGGACAAAGATCAAGTGGTTTGGTTAAAGTTAAATACACCACAGATGGTAATTATTGCTATAATTATAGATGCCAACTGTATCCATATGTGTGTCTACAAGAAAAGATGTGCTGTCAATAGAGTCTCTAATTGATAATATAACCTGATTTTCTCTTTTCTTTTTTGTGTGTCTCCAGACTTCAAAGCCTCATAAGCTGAAAAAGATCCAGAAACTCACAGGTCAGAAACATCCAATTCTTTACCCTGTCTTACCTCAAGAACCAACTATGGATCTTCTTTAAGATTATAGCTTTAAATAGCAGGTGTTGTTGTTGTTAAGTGCTGTCAAGTCGGTTCCGACCCATAGTGACCCTGTACAGGGTTTCCAAGGAGCAGCTGGTGAGCTTGAACCGCCGACCTTGCAGTTCAAATGGCTTTGCAGTCTGGCACATTAGCCCACAGCACCACACCAGGACTCTAAATAGCAGGTAGAGGGAGGTTGAAAAAGAGGATATACAAAAGTATGTGTATTCTTTCTAGCATCTCCATTTCCATAGAGAGGTAAAACCAAAGACCAAATCCACTGCCATCAAGTCAATTCTGATTCATAGTGACATTATATGATAGCAGAACCGCTTAGGGTTTCTAAGGCTGCAAATCTTTACAGAATCAGACAGCCTCATATTTCTCCTGTGGAGCAGCTGGTAGGTTTGAACTACTGACCTTTCAGTTAGCAGCCCAATGCTTAACCTACTGTGCCACGAGGGCGCCCCCAAAAGAGATGTAAGCCACTTCATATTTTTCATGCTTCCTTTCTTCATTTTCTTTTGTGCAAAACTCAAAGTACTAGGAAAGAAATTTGTTGAGATAGGGGAATAGAGAAGGAGAATATCAAGAATTTGGTGAAGAAAGTTCTTTTTCCCCTATCATAGATACTGAATAGTCTTCTTTGGAGGAAAAGATATGGAGCATGATATTATTATTCCTTATTGTCATGATTGCTCATATCCACCACATGGTAAAGACAGTATGTTGTTGTTAAGTGCTGTTGAATCGGTTCTGACTCGTATCAATGCTGTATAGGGTTTCCAAGGAGCAGGTGGTGGATTTGAACTACTGACCTTGTAGTTCAAAGTCTAGTGCTGATCCTACAGCACCACACCAGGAATCCAAAGACAATATTGTTGTTTTTGTTGTTAAGTACTGTTGAGTCGGTTGTGACTCATAGCGACCCTGCATAGGATTTCCGAGAAGGGGCTGATGAGTTCAAACCACCTTGACCTTGAAGTTGAGTGCTTATCTTACAGGACTCCAAAGAGAGTATAGTATAATATAGTTTAAAAACAAAAACAAAAAACTTGTTTTTTATTAAGGTTAAGTCTGAGCCATGCCATTAATTCACTTCATGATCTTGGACATGACTTCATCTTTGTTTCCTTATTTGAAAAATAAAGGGGTTGGACTAGGTGATGTCAATTGTTAATGATGCTTATAGAATCTTCATCTCTATTCCCAGATCCACAGTGGAATGAAAACCTCAAGTTGGGTTGCATTGATGCTAACTTGATATAGTGAGTGAACTATGTTTTTACTGTGTTTATTCTTTCTCCTTTTAGCTTATTATGCTGATAAATACTATGCAAGTTAGGAGTAAGATACTTGGGACTCTCTTTTACTTTCCTAACAAGGATAGCTGTCTCTTTTCTAAGTTTCTTTTCCTACTGATTTCCTTCCCAATACTATAACATCACTTCTATTATACTGACATACTCTATTATATTCAGCTTTGCAGGATTACCTATGGACTGGGCCCAAGAATATGTACTCTGGTCAATGGACAGGAGTCTTCAACACATCATAAGACACCTGGAAAGAGCAAGGTCAGAGAATAGTAGTTTTTAAGAAGGATTGAAGGTGGTAGAATTTTTAAGAGGGAAAGAGGAGGTAAAGAAGAAAGAAAGGAGGAAGGGAAGAGAAAAGGAGTAGAGTACAGGGAAAAGGAGAGGAGGGAGAGAAGAAGAAGAGAGTGAAGTCGAGGAGAGAGAGTTAGTTTTGGCATCAGAGAAAGTTCTAGGCTCACAGGAAGTTTAAGAACTATTGTCCTACAGAAGAACTGGATGGTGTCTGACTACCATTACTGAATATTTTGATCAAGAATAATAAAGAGGAATCTTGATCAAAAGGGGGGAAATACATGGACACATGAACAGCATTTCAAATTCTCATAGACTCTAGATGAACTGGATGAACCACTGAAATTAATGCCTGGAGATCATGGTTAAATCTTAAACCAAAAATATCCTGAAGTCTCCTAAAACTAGTAAAGAATGTCTAACTTGAGCAGTATGCTCTTTTAAGAATTATCTCTGTGGGATCAAATTGACAACAACAGCATCAGTTTAAAAGATTACATAGAAACCTTGTTGTTGTTATGTGCTGTGGAGTCAGTTTTGACTCATAGCAACCCTGTATAGTGTTTCCGATGCTGTAAATCTTTACGGGAGCAGAAAGCCTCATCTTTCTCCTGCAGAACAGCTAGTAGTTTCAAACTGCTGGCCCTGAGGTTCGCAGCCCGATTCATAACCACTACGTTACCACAGCTCCTTATAGAAACCTTAGGGGGCATGATAATATAAAGTAGGAACAATAACTTTGAAAAGTAGGGTGAGAATGGTTGCACAACTCAGAGAATGAATTGTTATTGTTGTTGTTGTCAAGTGCTGTTGAGTTGGTTCCAAGTCATAGTGACCCTGTGTAGGTATCCCAGAAGAGTGGTTAAATGGCTTTGGACTGCCATCCTTGTGGTTAACCATTCAGTGCTGATCCTACAGCACCACACCAGGAATGAATTAGTTACTGTATCATACATGCAGAAATGTTGAATTGGTATGTGTTTTGCTGGGTATGTTCTCAACAACAGCAACAAAGTAAATAAACTTAAAAAAAAAATAATGGAATCACTTGTCTAGGGATCATTTTTTATTGGAATGAGAACAAGTGCCTCTTTTGGCCCTGGGAGAGGAATTATTTCATAAGTAATTGATGTTAGAAAAAGCTGCCATTTGTTACTTTTTTTAAAAATTCTCTTCCTCTGCCAAGAGTATTTGCATTTGAAATGATCATTCTGTTTCTTTTTTCACCATGTCTTACTTCAAAGCAAATGAAAGTTTCTCTCTTTATTTCTTAGATCAAGTCTTATGGGACAGTCTTTGCCTGAACCACAGGATATGATTTCTTCTTCCACTCCTTCTGTTTTCGTGGCTCAGGAGCCTGTTTTACCCAGTTGTAACTGTAAGAAGGCAAAATATTCTACCAACTTTCTAAGCATTTCCTCTGGATCACTGGGCAGCATCTCTAGTCTATCTCACTGTCCTGACTTTTCTGAAGGAAATATCTGGCAATTCCGGAGCAATAGTTTACCTGTTTCCACCCGAAAGCAGTCTTCTGTGTTCAAAAACTGTGACGCATCCTTGCCTTCTTTTTGGCTCCCAGAACCTGAGAAATCAAAGCTTTTTCAGAATTTGGTGGCTCCTTCACCTGTAACACCTCAAAACTGTTTTATCAGCTCTATGTTTGAATCACCAAATCTCTACAAACAAGAAAAAACAAAAAATGAAAGAAGGACCAAGAGTTATTCGACATCAGACTGTAGATCAAATTCTGTTTTTAAGGAGAGACCACAGCTCCCAGAGTGTTCGCCAATCCGGCTCTCTCCTTTGGCTAGGTGGGAGCTAGAGGGGCATATGGCTTGGAAGGTTTGTACTTTGCGGGAACAAACAATACCTCTGGCTGTGAAGGAATCGTGGGCAATGTTGAACTATTTAGTTGAAGTACAAGGAGTTCCTGAATCAAAGAAACCCCAAACTCAGTCATCTAGACCTACTCATCAAGATACTGAACAAAATACCAACAATAAATCCCCAGACCTTTCATCATTTCAGTTTCATGTGAACACTGGAGTGGAATCTGGATTAAATAGGACAGAAACAAAAATCTCAGAGTCACTTACCCCATCTCAGCAGCTACAACCTGTGGATGTCCCCCAAATCCTTGGATCCAGATCCAGACCCTTAGTCATATCTATAGGCACTCACTCTCCCAGAAGCTTGGGGGTTGACAAAATTCAAGAGGAAACTACTTTCTTGCAGAAGCATCCAAAACACGTGCTAGAGCAGAGAGTTATAGATCTTCCAGAGAAAAGGGTCCAGCCACAGAAGACCCAAATAACTGATGTGGAGTTGACCCCAAGACTACCTAATCAAGTCACAGATAGCATAAAGATTACTCCATTGGCATTGCTTCAGGTCATGGATTCCATGGGGATGATCCCAGAATCACATTCAGAAGTGACAGAAGCTGTGGGTTTGTTCCCAAGACCACCAAATCAAGTTGTGAAACCAATGGAAGCCATTGAAACAATGAATGTGACTCTAGAACCACCATATGAAGTCATTGAATCAGCAGAGGTAATCCTAAAACCTCAGCATCAAGTTATGGAACAAAAGGGGCTGACCTCAAGATCACTGAATGAAGTCGCAGATAAGGTGAAGGTAACTCCTGTAGCATTGCTTCAAGTTATGGATCTCATAGGGATGACTAACAAACCACATCTACATATTACAGAATCAGTGGGAATGACTCCAAGATCCCAATGCCGTATGGAGTCAGTGAAGATGGACCATCAAGTCATTAAATCAGGAACAGTAAGTCCAATACCACAACATACAGTCGTGGAAACTGTGGATAAGATACTAGGGCCACAACAGAAATCAGTGGGCATGAACTCAAGGCCAGAAAGTCAAGTCATGGAAACACTGAAGATTATGCCAGGGCCAATATATCAAAACACAAAATCATTGGAAACGATCTCAAGGCCATTGGATCATGCCATAGATGATATGAAAGTAACTCCAGTGGCACTGTTACAAGCCATGGATTTCATGGGGATAATTCTACCAGCACAACCATGTGTTATAGAATCTGGGAGTTTGACTGCAGATCCACAGTCTCAAATTACAAGTTTGACACCAAGGCCGACTCAACCAGATAATTTGACTTCTTCCTATAGCTCACCCACTACTATTGGACTACCTAGAGTTGTAGAATCTGTAGCTTTATCTCCAAGGGCCCCACCTAAAGTCATGGAATCAGTAGGGATGATTCCAAAGCCATTACATCAAGCCATGAATTCTCCAACAGCAGTGATGTTCCCCTTGAGATCGATGACAGCACCACAGTCACAAATTGTAGAATCTCAGGACTTGACCCCCAGGCTAATATCTCAAGTCACAGAATCTCTGGAACTGACTCCTGAGTCATGGATTCAAGTGCTAGAATCTGTGGAAATGACTCCACAACCACATCATCAAGACACATATATAGGTCCACTTCATCAAGTCATGAAACCTTTGAGGTTGACTCCATGGTATCAAATCCCAGAATACTCAGAGATAAGTCCAAGGCAAAACCATCAAGTTATAGAAACAATGGGATTGACTTCTGATACATGGCTACAAATGAAGAAATCTGAAGCGTTCATACAATCACATGATCAAATAGTGGAATCTTTAGGGACAATGCCAGAGTCACTGACTCAAGGTACAGAATCTACAGGAATGCATCAAAAAACACTGCATCAAGTCATGGAATCTGTAGCAATAGCTACTGCACCACCCCATCAGGATGTGAAATATATAGGGGTGAAACCAATGCAACAATTTAAAGTTAAGGATTCCATGAAGTTGTTCCCAGAATTGCAAAATGTAAAATCTGAGAACCTAACCCTGGGACCAAGGTTCCAAAGTGTGAAATCTGTAGACACAGCTACAGGCTCATTCCCACAAGTGATAAAATATGGACAGTTGGTCTCAACTGTGGAAACTATAGAGTTAGCCCAAGAACTTCAACAGCAAAATGTAAAATCTGAAGAGGTGATCCCCACACAAGAGCTGCAAAGTGGGAAATCTCTGAAGTCAGTCCCAAGGTCTCAGCTTCAAAGTGTAAAATCTGCTGAGTTGGCTCCAGTGTTACAAGTGCAAAGTGAGAAATCTAAGGACTTGACCCTCAATTCACAATCAGAAGGTGTGGAATATGTTCATTTGACTCTACCACCAGAATTTCAAGGTTTAAAAACTTTGGAATTGACACTAACACCAGTATTGCAAGATATAAAATCTGTGGAGTTGGCCCCCAAACCATGGTTACAAGATATCAGATCAGAGAACATAGCTCCAGTGCTACTGCTTGAAGATGCAAAAACTATGGAATTAACTCATCAAATGGTAGAATGTAGGAGGTTAGCTCCTGAGATCTGGCCACAACAGGAGGAATCTGTGAAGTTTATCCCAGTGCAAGTCATGGAAACTGCTGGGATGATACCTGGGCCACAACTTCAAAAATGTTCAGAGATGGTAACAGGGCCAGACTATCAAGACACAGGAATGAAGAGGCTGATTTCTGAGGCTTTGCTCCAAGTGGCATTAACACAAAAACCACCAAGTCAAGTTGTAGAATCTGTAGGAATGACTGCAAGCCCACATCTTCAAGATACTGGATCTCCAGAGATAACCCTAAAATCAGAATGTGAAGACACAGAAGCTGTAGGATTGACACTGCTCCAAGTTGAAAAAAATCAGAGGACAATTCCAGTATCATCATATTTAGAGAAAGAATCTCTGGAGTTAAATCTAGAGCGAAGGATCCAAGATGAGAAATCAGAACCACTGAAGCAAGATTTGAAATGTGTGGAGTTAACTACTGAGTCATCTCCATTCATGGTAGGATCTAAAAGGTTAATTATAGGATCAAAGCCACATGCTATAAAGTTGATCCCAGGACCACAGCTCCAAGGAGTGAAGTCTAGGCAGTTGGATCCAGAACAAAAGTCGCAAGACATGAAATATGCAAATTTAACAAAAGAGTTAACTACAAGCATGGTAGACTCTGAGTTGACACCAGGTATGATATCAGAGGACTTGACTAAGGGGACACAGCTCCAAGGCATAAAATCTGGGGATTTAATTCTAGACCCAAGGCAGCAATGTGTCAAATCTTCTGGACTGACCCTAGGGCCACAATTGCAAAGTGTCAGATTTTCAAAATTAACTCCAGGGCCACTTCTTCATGGAGAGAAATATGTAGATTTAATCTCAGGGGCACCTCATAGTGTAAAATTTGATGAATTGATCCCAGATTCTCCAAGGCAAGAAATCCAACAGTCAGATTTTATCCTAGGACCAAATAATCAAAGCATCAAATCTACACAGTTGACTCCGGAACCACAACATCAAGGTATGAAATTTGTGGACTTAATTCCAGGGCCATGCTTACAAGATGTCAAATTTTCTGATTTGGCATCACAGCCCAAATACCAAGGTTTCCAGTATGTGAAATCGATATCAGGAACACACCTTCAAGATGCAGAGTCTCTAGGGTTTGGACCAGAATTGTCTTTGCAGTTAAGCCAAGGGTCACAGGTTAAAGATATGAAATCTGTTATGTCTACTGTAGGATCAGAGATTCACAGCATGAAATCTGTAAAATTGACCTCAGTGCACCAAATTCAAGGTGTGAAATCTGAGGAACCAAGCCTAGGACCATGGCAGCAAGATGCCAAACTTTCTGAATTGACTTCAGGACCAAAACTTCAAGGTGTCAAAGTTGGGGAACAGACCCCGGAACCAATGTCTCACAGTGAGAATTCTGTGAAGGGGACACAAGAGTTGGGGCTGCAAGATCCCAAATTAACAAAGATTTCTCCAGGGCTGCAAGGTATGGAACAGATAAGGCTTAACCCAGGGCCAGTGCTACAAAATGTTAAATTATATGATTTGACCCCAGGAACTCAACCTCAAGGTATGAAGTCTTCAGAGTTAAACTCAAAGCCACAGTTAGAATGTGTAAAAATTTTTGAGTTGACTCCACAGTCAAAGATGCTAGGGGCTAGATCTATGGAGTTGATCCCAGGACCACAGAGGCAAGGGGATAAACCTGAGATGTTAGCATCACAGTCACTATTTGAGGGTGTAAAACATGTAGAGCTGAATCATCTACCAATTTTTTATAAATTAGCCTCAGAGCCACATATACAACATTCTAAGTTGATCAGAAGACCACAGTTCCAAAGTATGAAATCTTCTGAATTGATCCAAGAGTCACAGTTGAAAGATATAAAACCTGTGGAATGGATCTCAGTTTCAAAGCTTCTAGATTTAAACTCTGAGGAGCTGACCTTAGAGTCACAGGAGGGAGATGTGAAATATGTGGAGATAACCTCAGGACCACAGATTGAAGATGTCAAATTCACCTCAGGTTCTAAACTTCAAGGTGTGAAATCTGTTGAAATGAACCTTGGGTCAAAAATGCAAGGTAAGAATTCTATGACTTTTGCACCAGAGCCATTGCTTCGAGTTAGTGAATCTCTGGAGGTACTCCAAGGGCTCCAACTACAAGGTGTGAAAGCTAAGGAATCGTTTTTAGAACCACAAATGAAAGATATAGAATCTGTGGAGATTAGTCAGCGCTTAAAGCTTCAAAGTTTGAAATCTGCAGAAGTGAACCCTGATTCAAAGTTGCAGTGTATAAAGAAAGAAGTAGTCAAATCTGTGGATGAAACCAGAAGACAAGAGGTTCAACAAGTAAAATCTGTGGATTTATCCGCAACACAACAGTTTCAAGGAGTGGCAGCTGTGGATTTAACTCCTAGACCAGACCAACAATGTATGAATTTAGAACAACTGAAAAGAGGACCTGAACCAGAAGATATGATGTCTTTAGAGTTAAATCCAGGGCCAAAATTTGTACAGTTGAAAGATATGGAATCATTTGAATTGACTCCAGAACTAAATATTCAAGGTATAAAAACAAAAACATCCAAGTTTGACTCACAGTTGCAGAGCATGAAATCTCCCAAATTGACCTCATGGCCACAGCAATTGCACCAAGTGAAACCTGTGGAGATAACTTCAGAGTCACAGCTTCAAGGTGGGAGAATTGTGGAGGTAAACCATGAACCAGAGTTTAGAAGTATGATCCCAGTACCAGAATTTCAAGGTACAAAATCTGCTCAGTTAGCTCTAGAATTAAAATCTCTAAGTGTTAAAACTGCAGAATTGAAAGCCATACAACCATTGAGAGGTATGAAGTCATCTGAATTGATTCTAGGACCAAAATCTCAAGTTGCAAAACCTATGTTCAACCTTGAACCACAGTGGCAGAATGCAAAAACTCCTGAGTTTTCCCCAGAGCCACAGCTGCAAAAAATGAAAAATTTGGAATCATTCTCGCAGTCACAGCTTAAAGTTGTGAAAACTGTGCAGTTAAATCAAGAGCCAGATCTTGGAGGTATGCAAACTGTTCAGTGGATACCAGGACCAGAGTTCCAAGGTAGGAAATCTGCAGTGTTGAGTACTGGGTCACAATCTCGAGGTGTCAAACCTGTAAATTTGAAACCTGTGCTATATTCGAAAGATGTGAAGTCGTCTGAATTGACTCTTGGATCAAAACTTCAGGGTCAAAAATCTATGGAGTTCAACCTTGAGCCACAGTGGGAGATCCTGAAAATCCCTGAGTTGTCTTCAGGGTCACAGCTACAAAAAGGAAAAAAACTGGAATCACTCTCAGTGCCACAGCTTCAAGGTGTGAAAACTGTACAATTAAACCAACAGCCAGAGTTTGGAGGTATGAAATCTGCTCAGTGGATACCAGGACCAGAGTTTCAAAGTAGGAAATCTTCAGTGTTCAGTACTGGGTCACAATCTCAAGGTGTCAAACCTGTAGATTTGAAACCTGTGCTACACTCGAAAGATGTGAAGTCATCTGAATTGACTCTAGGATCAAAACTTCAAGGTCAAAAATCTATGGAGTTCAACCTTGAGCCACAGTGGCAGATCATTAGAACCCCTGAGTTGTCCCCTGGGCCGCAGCTGCAAAAAGGGAAAAGTTTGGCATCATCTTCAGAGCCACAGCTTCAAGGTGTAGAAACTGTACAGTTAAACCAAGAGCCAGAGCTTAGAAGTTTGATAGCAGGACCAGTGTTTCAAGGTGTGAAATCAGTCGTGCTGAATCTTGAGTCACAGTCTAGAGGCACCAAACCTGTGGATTTGAAACCTAAGGTGCACTTGAGAAGTACGAAATCATGTGACCTGATTTCAAGGTCAAATCTTTGTGGCATAAAACCTATGGCATGCAAACCTGGGTTTCACACACAAGATTTAAAACCTCCTGAATTGTTCCTAGGACCACAGCTGCACGAATCAAAACCCTCAGAGTTATCTCTAGGGACCCAGAATCATGATTTGAAGTCTTTTGTATTTGTACAAGAGTCACAGCTTCCAGGAGTGAAATCTGGGCTTTTAAGTCAGGGACCACAATTGCCAAGTGATAAAACTATAAAACTGAACCCCCAACTATACTTGAAATCATCTGTATTAACTCTTCAAACGGAGATTCAAGGTGTGAAATCTGAGGAGTCCAACTCTGGGCTGAAATGGCAAGGTGCAAAATCTTATAAATTGACCCCTGAGACAAAGTCCCAGAGTACAAATTGTATTAAATTAAACCCCAGTTCACAGTTGCAAGGTGTAAAAATTTCTGAGTTGACCATGGGAATAAAGATTCAAGATGTCAAATCTGGATCATTGCTGCAAGGTGTGAAAGGAACTAAAGGGACCTCAAAGTCAAACCTTCAAGATGTAAAACATACAGAATTCAATCCTAGTTCCCAGGTGCAAGTTGTGAACTCTTCTGAGTTGATCCTAGGATCAAAGCCTAAAAGTGTGAAATCAGTGGGATTCAATCCGGAGCCAAAATTACAAGGTAGGAACATTTCTGAGTTAATCCCAGAGACCAAATTTCAAAATACGAAATTTGTGGAGTTCAAATCTGGGCCCCAGTTGCCAGGTGTGACATCTGAGTCTGTCCTAGGGACAGAAATTCAAGGAGTAAAATCAGTGGAATTCAACTCAGGGCCACAGAAGCAAGATGTAAAATCTTCTAGGCTGCTTGTGGGTAAAAAGCTTGACAATGTAAAATCTATGGATTTCAATTCCTGCCCACACTTGAAGGCTGTGAAATCTTCAGAAATTATCCCAGGAATAAAGCTTCAAAGTGTGAAATCTGTAGAAGTCAATCCTTGTCAAAAGTTTCAAGGTACAAAATCTTCTGATTTGACCCTGGGGTGTTGTAAATTCCCTGGTGTGACATCAGTGGGGTTCAATCCTGAATCACATATACAAAATGAAAAATCTTCTGAGTCCATTTCAGGTACAAAGTTTCAGTATGTGAAATCTGTGGAATTCAACTCAAGCTCACAGTTGCAAGATGTGAAATATTCTAAATTGACCCTGGGGACAAAGTTTCAAGATGCACCTTCTATGGAGCTCAGTTCTGAACCACATTTTCAAAGTATGAAATCTGATTTAACCCTAGGGACAAAGATTCAAGAAATGAAATCTTTAGAATTCAATCCTGGTCCAAAGTTACAAAATGAAAAATCTTCTCATTTAAACCTAGGGAGGAAACTTCAAGGTGTGAAATATGTGGAGTTTAATCCTGGACCTCAGTTACAAAATGAGAAATCTAACAAGACTATAGAGAGGAGGTTTCAAGATTTGAAATCTGCTGAGTTAAAACATGTCCCACAGTTACAAACTGTGGCATCTTCTCAGTTAATACCTGGGAAAGAACTGCAAGGTTGGGAATCTGTTGCGTTTATCCCTAAATCAAAGTGTCAAGAGATGAAATCTTCTGAATTGACTAACGATACAAAGGTACATGATATAAAACCTTTGGGGTTCTACTCAATCCCAGAGTTACAAGATAGTAAATTGTCTATGTTGACACTAGGGGCACAACAACAAGGTGTGAAATCAATGGGACTCAACCCTGGGGCAAAATTGCAAGATGAAAAATCTTCTGAAATGAAAAAATTTAACACAGTTAAATCTACAGAGGTCAACCATGGCTCAGAATTTCAGGTTGTGAAACCTAAAATGGTTTTGGAATCAAAACCTGTGATACCTTCTGAATTCAGTGGTAGAAAACAGTGGCAAGATGAGAAATCTTGTAAGGTGAATCCAAGTCCAGAACAAGGGGTAAGATCTTCTGAGTCGTGCGTAGAGACAAAGTCTCCAGATGAGCTTAAATTTCAATGTGGGAAACTTTCTGAATTGAATCCAGGGCCACAGCTTCAGTGTACAAATTTTATATCATTTAACACGGGGTCACAGTTGCCAGGTGTAAAATCTTCTGAGTTGAATCCTGGATCACAGCTTCAAGGTATAAAATCTAATGTATTCTGCCTTGGGCCACATTTACAATGCATGGATGATTCTGAGTTTACTCCAAAGCCAAACCTTCAATGTGTAAATTCTATTGGGTGTAACCCCAGTACACATTTACAAGGTGTGAAACCTTCTGAACTGACTCCAGTTTCAAAGCTTCAAGGTATGAACTCTTCCTTGTTGAATCCAGGAACAGAGATTCAAAGTGAATTATCTATGGTATACAAGCCTGGGCCATATTTGCAAGGTGTGAAGTCTGAATTGACTCTAGGGTCACAGTTTCTAGGTGTAGCACCCATGGAATGCACTCCTGGATCACAAGTACAGTGTGTCAATTCTTCTGACTTGAATCCAGGACCAAAATTACAATGCACGAGTTCTATGGGGTGCAAACCTAGGCCACACTTGCAAGGCATGAAATCTTTTGAATTGACTTCAGGGACAAAATTCCAAGGTATGATATTTTCTGAGTTGAATCCAGGATCAGAGCTTCAAGATATAAAATCTATTGTGTTAAATCCTGTACACCATTTGCAAGGTATGAAGTCTGAATTGACTCCAGGGACAGAGTTTCAATGTATAACATCTATGGAGTTCAACTCTGGCGCCAAATTAGAAGGTATGAATTCTTCTGAGTTGAATTTAGGGCCCAATGTTCAGTGTATAAATTCTATAAAGTTCAATCCAGGGTCACAGATGATACAAGGCATGAAACTTTCTGAACTGAATCATGGGTCAGAATCTCAAGGTACAAAATCTATTTTGCTCAACCCTGGCCAACATTTGCAAGGTGTAAAATGTTCTCAATTGACTCCAGGGATCAAGTGTCCAGAAGCCCATTCTTTAGAGAACCATCCTGAGTCACAGAAGCAAGTTGTGAAATCCACGTTTACTTTGGGCTCACAGTTATATAATGTGAAATCTGTGGCATTTTCACCAGAGCCACTGTTTGAAGAGATACAATCTGTGGAGATGAACAGAGAGCCATTGCTTTGTGGTGCAAATTCTGTGAAATTGATTTCAGGCTCTCAGCTACAGGACTTGAAGTCTGAGGTGTTTGTACTAGAACCATCTGTAGAGTTAAACCAGGGACAACATTCTCCAAGTATGAATTCTGAGTTGTTGCCCTCACACCTTAGGCAGAATGGTGTGAAGTCTATGGTGTTTGCACCAGAGTCATGTTTTCAAGATGTACGATCTCTTGGGTTGAAATCAGGGTCACAGCCACAAGATGTGAATTCTAAGAACTTGATTTCTTGTCACAGGCAGAAATCTATGGTATATGTATCAGAACCATGTTCTCAAAATGTGAAATGTGTGAAGTCAAACTTATGTCCACAACCTCAACTTGCAAATTCTTTAGGATCAACATCATGCCTCAGATCACAAAGTGTTAAGTCAATGGTCTTTGCACCAAAACCAGGTTATCAAATCACAGAATCCTCTGAGGTTATCTCTAGGACAGAGTACCAGTTTGCAGGACATGCAGAGATGATCCAAAAGTCAAGACAGCAAGTCCCAAAATTTGTTAATTTGATTTCAATACCAATTCATCAAGTTACAGAATCTTCAGAAATGACACCTGATTCAGCACATCAAGACACCGAAACAGTAGAGAAATTAGTAGGGTATACCCCAAACTCAATGGGTAAAGTCACAGACTGTCCAGGGATGCCTCTGGAGATAGACCTTCAAGAACCGGAATCTGTGGTTCTGACTTCAGCAATAGTGAATCAAGGATCAAAACCATTAGAATTAACCCCAGAGAAAAGTTACCAAGTTCCAGAAACTGTGGAATTATATACACAGTCACAGCCTCAAGTTAAGAATTTGGGGGTATTATCTACAAGGCTACTACAGCAAGATGTGGAATCTGGAGGAATGACCCCAGAGCTAAAGCATCACATTATAGAAACTGGGGGATTAAGTTTTGAGGAAAAGCTGCAAGGGGAAGAATGCCTTAGAATTATCCCCAAACCAGTAAGCCAAGCAAATGAATATACAGAAAGATTTCTAAGCTCCTATCCTGAAGCCGTAGAACCTGTGGAGAAAAGACTGCCAAGAGTAGAATCTTTAGTATTGATTCCAAAGTCATTTCATCATGTCCCCAAATCTTCAGGGAAGATACCAGAGATAGGATATCAAGTTCCTGAATCTCTGGAGTTGCCTTCTGAGAAATGGGTCCAAGTGGGGGAATCTGCAAAATTGACTGCAATGTCATGGGATTATTTGAGTTCTTCTGGGAAAGTATCAGAGTTAGGCCATCAAGCTCCAGAATCTAAGGGTTGGACCTCTAAGCAACAATGGCAACTGGGGGAATCCTTAGAGTCACCCCCAAAGCAAACAGATCAAGTTAAAGAATCTGCAGATCTCACTTCTAAGACATGGCAGCAAAAGGAGGGATCCAAAGGGCTAACAGAGTCACAGTATCAAAGTATGAGATATTCAGGGATAGCCCTAGGACCACCAGACCAAATTATAGAATCTACAAGCATTAGTCCAAAGCCACTTGACCAAGTCACAGAATTAGCAAGGACACAGGTTCAAGTTTTTAAATCAACAGGGGTAACCCCACTGGTCCCCCAAAAACTTGTTGAATCTGTGGAAGTGATCCCTGGACCATCACTTCAAGTTGTGAAGTCAGTGCCATTAACCCCAGGGCCAACTCTTCAAATGCTGGAATCTGTTGAGTTGACTCCCAAACTGCAAGATTTGACACTTTCAGAGTTTACCCCAGAGCTATGGTGGCAAAATGCAAACTCTAAGAAATTAATCAGAGAGCCAACACACCAAATTTTGGAAATAATAGAGTTAACGGGGTTTCAAATAGTAAAAACTGTGTTAAATCCAGGACCACCACTTCAAATAGTAAAATCTGAAGAAATAGTACCAGGACCAATCACTCAGTTTGTAGAACCAACAAAAGTATCCCTAGAACCAGGGCTTGAAGTAATGGAGAATTTGGACTTACCCTCTAGGCCATATCTTCAAGAACTGGTAGAACATGTAGAATTAACTCCACAGCCAACCTCTCCATTTGAGAAACCTAGAGTGTTGACTTGTGAACAAGAGCTTCAAGCTGTGAAATCTATAGGGATAAAAACAGGATATCCTCAAGTCATGGAACCTGAGGATATAGATCTAGGACAGGTTTATCAGAATAGGAAATCTGAAAACTTAACATCAGGAGAAAAGTTACAAGTAGGAAATTATTTATCTAAATATACACACATCTCATCATCTCCACTCATCTCAAGCCCTGTCAAAACTATATGTGAATTAGGAAGTAGTTGGAATTTTGAAATGCCAGAAGTACCAAGAGACTTGGATATAAAAAACCTTGAGACAAATATTTTACAGCATGGAAAGTCCTATATAGACCCTAATATGACACAGTCTTCAGTTGTTCCTTTGGACCTTGTTAATCAATGCTCTAATCAGACAGCTATCACTGTGGAAATGCCACATCCTGCGATCCCAGAAATGAATGTCATATCTAAGGAGAAGACCAATAGTAAGCAGATGGAAGAGCTAGACAACTCACTCCAGTGGAAATATGGTCTTCAGAGATTCTCCCAACACCCATCACGAAGCTGGAGATTACCATCTAGGATTTCCCAGGCAGCATCAGTTGCTCGAAGAGGGTTGACCAGGCCCATCCTTGGCAGACAACAGAATGTCTGGGAGAGTCATGCTTGGAAACAGCGGCTACCAAGAAAATATCTCTCTAGTATGGTAACACTTGGGAACAATTTAGGAGTTACTATAGAAAAGAAGCTTTGTTCTCAAATATCTCGGGCAGAAAGAGCCACTACAGCTACCTGTCAATCTATACCGAAATTATTTGGGGTCACAGCAGAACTGGTAAAATTCCCTCAGAACCTGCTACAGAAGGTTCAGGGTACTATTTCTCAACCTTCAGTGGTCAGAAACTACATTCAGAGACATACTTCATGCTATGGTGATGAGAAAAAAATGACCTTAAGGATGTGGACACGAGGCTCAACGTCTTCTATAATACAGCAATACTCTGGGACTATAATGGGATTAAAGAAAACAAACTCAAAGCTCAGTTATATATCCCAAGAAGTCAGTCAACACATGCCTTTCTCACATACAGGGTACCAAATTCCTTCTCCAGTAAAGTCGGAGTCTTCCTTCAGGACACTTTTCATTCGGAAAGAAGTCTCTATTCCAGTAGAAGAGAGTGAAAACTCACAGAGTGAGTCACAGACAACAATTTTTGAGCCCCAATACTCCCTCAAGCCACCATGTCTTCCCCAGTCTAAGAATGACATCTCAGAACAGTTTCAGCTACTACACGATCTACAGCTAAAAATAGCAGGGAAACTCTTAAGGAGTCAACTACCCCCCAATGTGCCCCCACCTCAAGCTACAGGTCTGGTATTAAAATATCCTATCTGCTTACAGTGTGGACGATGTTCAGGATTTGGTTGCTGTCATAAATTACAGGCCCCTTTTGGGCCTCACCTTCTTATCTATCCACAGCTCCATCTTGTAAGTACCCCTGAGGGCCATGGTGAGATTCGGTTGAATCTTGGCTTTAGGTTGCAAACTGGGAAAAGATCCCAAGTTCCAAAGTATCATGGAAGAGACAGATCAGCCATACCAAGAAGCCCTATATCACCATCACAAAGGAAAGCTAAAATCTATACTAGAGCTACCAAGAGTCCTACTTCCAAAAGAGATTTCAGGTCTGGGCTTTCTCAGTCTCCTACTCCTATACAAGTCCACATCAGACAAGAGCGGTATGGCAGCCCTGACCCAGTAGAAAAGACAGAAATTGGAGATACCGGGCACTATGAATTCATTCACGTTAACTTGCTGCCAGACAGTAGTTCTGAAAGCAATCAGGATGAAAAACAGGCTAAGATGAGACCCCCAAAGACCCCTGATACAAAATATCCAATTAAAAAAATCACTAAAGAAGTTAGAACACAAAGTAGTAGAGGCATAATAGAGAGTCCCTCTAGAGAATTACCAGCTCAGTTAAGAAGGAAAAGGATCGGAGTAGCTCAAACAACTTCTGCCTTTTTAAAAAGAAAATCTAAGACATCCTCCCAACCCACATTCATGCATCTGCTTTTTCAGGGTCTAAAGCAAGCATTCCAAATAGCACACAAAGTTATGACTTCTACTGGACAGAAGAAGCCTGAGGACAGGGAAAGACCAGACAACTGGTGGATGTGCAAAAATGTCCCATTAAAACAAAGGACCAGGGAGTACTACCTATCAAGAGATAGCAAGAAAGACAGGAAGTCAGTTGTCAAGATAAGGCCCACAGGCCTAACAACTAAGCAGGGAAGAACAGACCAATTCAGATCAACTCAACATACACAAAGACATAGCTTTTCCCAACCCAGACCTACCCAATTGCCCAAGTCCACAGTTGCCTCAAAAGAGATCACTTTCCAAACCTCTTCAATCAGACAGCCTTTGGATATAGTTCAAAATGACAGTAGTAGCAGAGCTAATGAAAATGACAGAGCTGAAATCTCCAGCCAGCAGCCTAAGAACTTGTCCAAACCAGGAACCAGAGTTCAGGCCAGAGGCCAAACCCTACATGGTTCCTCTGTAAAAAGAATCCCTCAGAGTCACTTTAAAGCGAAACCTACATACAAGGAGCAAAATCACCGCAGCAGTCCCTCTGAGAGAACCCATCACAGTTCCTCTAAAAGAATTCAGCATAGTATTCCCGAGAGGAGACCTCACAGACTCTCTGAGAGGATCCATTTCAGTCCCTCAGAGAAGAGCTGTCACAGTCCTTCTGAGAGGAGACAACACATTATCTCTGAGAGAAGCCATCACAGTCCCTCTGAGAGGAGTCTTTACTGTCCTTCTGAAAGAAGACACAGTCTTCCTCCTGAGAGGAGTCGACGCAGTTACTCTGAAAGATCCCATCACAGACACTCTGAGAGGAGTCCTTGCAATCACTCTAAGAAACTCCGTCACAGGCCCTCTGAAAGGAGCCATCGTCGCAGTGCCTCAGAGAGAGCCCATGACAGTCGCAGTCATTCAGAGAGAACCCATCACAGTCCCTCTGAAAAGAGCCGACGACGCCGTCATTCAGAAATAACCCATCACAGTCCCTCTGAAAGGAGCCATCGCAGTCATTCAGAGAGAACCCATCACAGTCCCTCTGAAAGGAGCCGTCATTCAGAAAGAACCCATCACAGTCCCTCTGAAAGGAGCCATCGCAGTCATTCAGAGAGAACCCATCACAGTCCCTCTGAGAGAACCCGACACTGCGCTAAGAAGAGAATCAAGCACAGTTCCCTTGGGGAGAGGCCCGGGCATAGTTTGTCTAAAGATTTCATGAGTTATTCAAACACAAACACAGAAGCTGGGCAAGTTTGGAGGCCTGAAGCAAGTAGATGATGAAAGGTCCGCCCATGGTTTCATTCAGGTCTTTGTCAAGCTGCCCTTTCCTGGCTTCTTCTCTGTTCATCTACGACCTCCAATTCCAGTGCCCTCACCAATGAAAGGGCTTTTGTCTTCCTACTTGGGGGTTGGGGAAGGGCATGAGTCTGTAATTTCTCTAAAATAAAGCATCAATAATTAAATGAGACATTGATCTTCGTGAGCGTCTTTAAAAACCACTTGTGGTACTGGGTAGAGTAGGGAGGGTGGAGGTACACTTGGAGTCGCACAAACTGGAAAAGAACAAGAACGGTTGGGAGGCCAGGTTAAGACTCCACACTCCTACTCTTTGTCCCAAGCCCCACCCACAGTTCCCAGAATCCCAGGACGCATTCCCTCCCTGGGCGGGGTCTCAGAGGAATCCGTGTGTGTAGTGGAGGAGCGGGAGGAAATCGTGGAGGCTCATCACGTGATTTACTCGGGCCGCAGGCCCCTCGGAAGCTGCTAGGCGGAAGTAGACGTTCGGAACGGAATTCAGAGTGTCTGAATCCACATCCGGAAGAGGAGAGAAGGAAAGAAGAGGAGAGCGGAAGTGGCGTTAGTCTGGCCGGAGCCCCTTGGTGAATTTGTTAGGCGTGGAGAGGGAGTGATGGCTTCCAAATTCGGTGCAGTACACGCTGTGAGTTTCTTGGTTTGATCCTATGCTTTGGGGGTTGCACTATCGAACCCAGAGCACGCGGCCCCTCGCTTTTGTCCCATGCCCAGAGTTGGTTTTTTCAGAACCCGTCGTAGGCCCCACCCTTCTAGGTCATGTCTACCTGTCCTCTTTTTTTACTTTATGCTGCCCCCCACCTCCTAGGCTTCACTTTCTTGCCAGATTGCCGTTAGTTTTATTGTTGTTAATCCCCAATGCCGCCCTCACCCGTCTGCCTCTTTTACGCCTCTCTTCTAGAGACGAAGAAGGGAGGTGAAGACTTTGCTATTGTTACATTCCCTTTACTATATTAGTAACAGGTATACTTTTCCTTAAAAGTATTGCTTTTTCCGTTTGCGGTAGTTACTCCGTGAGAGATAACGATTTCCTGGGCACTTTTTGTGGTCAAGGTTCAGAGAACCCTAGCACTTACTTGTATTTTGCTCACTTGTGCTTTGCTAGACTCCGGGACGCACTTCGTTTAAGCAGCAGAGGAGCTCGGGGAAGATCGTTGGGACTAAGAAGTAAGTGAGGTGTTGTGAAGTCCATTTATAATTGTTTCACCAACACTATTCTACAGAACTACCTGTGATGATGAAAATGTGTGTGTCTTGAGTACTTGAAATCTGGCTTAGAAACGGAATTTTACATTTTATTCGTAATTAATTGAAATTTACATAGCCACCTGTGGCTAGTGACTGTTAACAAAAAAATTACCAAAAACGAAATCTACTCCCAATTCAGAAAACATCTTCTCAAAAATAGAAGAGAAGGAAAAGTTTAATTATTAAATAAGCATTAAAACAGAATGTGATGCCCCACAGTCATCTAAAGGATAAAACAGAAATCTTATCCTTTTATGTAGTTGTTGATACAGCTCGTTACATTCATGTTTAAGATAAAATCGCTAATTTTCTATAACGGAAAAACCAAATCCAAAACCCATTGCCGCTTTGTGGTTTCCCACTCCTAGTGACCCTATAGGACCTAGTAGAACTGCCCCCAGGACTCCTCCATAGTGTTTGTTGTTAAGTGCCATTGAGTACAGTTTGGACCCATAGCGACCCTGTGCAGGGTTTCCGAGGCTGTAAATCTTTATGGGAGCAGAAAGCCTCATCTTTCTCCCGCAGAACAGCTGGTAGTTCGAACTGCTGATCCTGGGGTTCACAGCCTGATTCGTAACCACTATGCTACCAGAGCTCCTTTCCATAGTGTTTAGAAGGTTGTAAATTTTTCTGGACGCAGACTCAATTTTCTGTCAGAGTGGCTGGTGGGTTCTAGCAACTGACCTTTTGGTTGGCACTCAAGTGCTTTAACAACAGGGTTCCTTAATATTTTAATACAGTATGTTTATGGCAGGCTATCCTAAGGTATGTTAGTCATTGTTCAGAAAATGGAGAGGTAGAGGTGTGAGCTTTCTTGACCATATTTTAAAAAGAAATGGCTGCCAGGTCCTTGAGGTAACAACCTTGTTTCATATTTTAGAAAGCAAAAATTCTACCTATACAAGTTATCTAAAGTGAATTCTGAAAGAACAGGGAGGAGGGGAACCTTTACCATTATTTTCTTAACTCAGTTAAGTGCCCTGGAGTTTGAGTTGTAACAACCCACTGATAGCGACCCTGCATAGAATTCCAAAGGACTCCGAATTTTCAATGGAGAGAATTAAAACTGTGACTGCAAGATCAGTTTGAACTGCAAGGTAGGCTGTTGAAGCTCACCAGCCGCTTCTCGGAAACCCTATACAGGGTCACTAAGTGTTGCAACTGAATTGATGACATTCAACAACAACAAGGATTCCTGGTTTGGCACAACTCAAAATGAGGAAAAATAATGGCAAACATCTATTAATAATCGAAACTTGGAATGTACAAAGTATGAATCTAGGAAAATTAGAAGTTGTCAAAAATGAAATGGAATGCATAAAGATCGATATCTTAGGCATTAGTGAGCTGAAATGAACTGGTATTGGCCATTTTGAATCTGACAGTCATATGGTAGACTATGCTGGGAATGACAAATTGAAGAGGAATGGCGTTGCATTCATCATCAAAAAGATTTAAAGATCTATCTTGAAGTATAATGCTGTCTGTGATAGGATAATATCCATATTGCCTACAAGGCAGGCCAGTTAATACCACTATTCAAATTTACACACCAACCACTAAAACCAGTGATGGTGAAATTGAAGAATTCTACTAACATCTGAAATTGATCAAGCATACAATCAAGTTGTATTGGTAATTACTGGTGATTGGAATGCAAAGGTTTGAATTGTAATAAAAATGGAATATATGATTCAGTGATCATAGGATTATTTCTTAGGTATTGCCTGTGAAGACATTGATGAACATGGGGAGGACTGATAAAAAAAAAATAGCTATAAGAAATTCTTGTATTTTAAATCTGCTTGGCTCCTAGACTGGTTTATTTTGTATATGAGTATCCTAAGCTTTGTTTCTATAAAATTGAATAAAGACTTTATTACACCACACATATAAAAAGTAATTGGTACAAAAAAGACGGTTTTTGAGAATTTTTTTCCATGATATTTCCCATCAAAGTATAATTTTCAAAGCCACAACAACAAAGGAAGCAGTGTAATGAACACAGTTTATGTTACTTAATTATTCTTTGAACACTAAGAACTGTTGGTCTTTTCTGATATCCTGCAGATGCTTGCACAGCATTCGGACGTTATTTGATAGATGATAGTGTTTAGTGATAGTCTGAATGTAAATTTTAATCTTTTATAAGAAGTGCCCTCAAGACTTCTGAAATTCTAGGTAGTTTACTAGAAGCTTGAGGAAGCTTGAAATACTTGTCACCTGTCTTGGCAGTGTCAGCAAATTATTAAGAATTGCTGTAAGGGTAGTCTGGACAACTCCACATCAATCTTTAAATGATTCTCCTAAGTGAGACAGACCACAACCTGAATGGAAGCCTTTTGAGTGCTTACTGAAAAACTACATTATCAGAACCCATTTGACAAGTTTTTAACTCTGTTCATGTTTATTCTCAATCCATGAATAAATTGCACTGGGCTGCCCTGTTTTACCTTTAGCACATTTAGAGGTAGGTGGAGAAGAATTAGAAAATTCAGTCATTTGCTGATGTTAATTGTTAATTGTGCCGTGGAGTCGGTTCCTACTCATAGCGACCCTGTATAGGGTTTCCAAGGGGCAGCTGGTATGTTTGAACTGCCGGCCTTGTGGTTCGAAGTACATTGCTGATCCTACTATAGTGCCACAGATACAGAAGTCTATAATCTTGACCCTCTTATAATTGAGGACTTTGAGGTAGTATTTACATTAAAAATATCAGATATTTACATTAAAAATTACAGCCATCCACTTAATTTATAATAGAGCCAAAAGAAGTCCCAAGGGGTTTTGCAACATTTGAAGAAAACAGGATGTTTTAACTAATGATGGCACTGAAGGCTGTGAGTCATCTGATTAGATTTTGGTACCTGAAAAATAATTTCTTCTGGAGAATTCCATTTCTTAGATTCCCCTGGGTATGAGGAAGATACCATGCTCCCATGTGTAACAGCAGCTTCTTCGTAGAGAAGAAATTTTGAGTCATATCATCTAAAACATTCAAACACTTTCTTGAAATGGCTGTCCAGTTGGGATGTCCACCTGGTTGATTAAAACTTAAAACTTTTCTTCATGAAGGAGAGTGTTCAGAGAGCAACAGCAGGTCCTGCAAAACCAAATACTTATGATGAGGGGAGGATTGCTGTTTAAAATTTTAGGGAAGCATTCATCTGATTTCTGTTGATGGTGGTTGAGCAGGTAATAGTTGAGCTTCTTTAACTTTTTTTTTTTTTAAACTTTTTATTGTGAATTGGGCGAAGGTTTACAGCACAGATTATCAGTTTTACATTGAATAATTCACAATGAATTTCAGTTCCCTCAGTGAAACATCACTTATCCCATTTCCTCCATGTGTTTCCTGTTTCCTTTCCTCTTTTCTTTTCTAACCCTTTTAAACTTTGTCCTTGGGTGAATGCTGTCCTTTTTGTCTCATATGATTGATTATTCTAAGGATTATACCTCGCTAATGTACTGTTCCTCTTATAGACCTCTCTATGGTTTGGTTGAAAATTGGTCCATGGTGTTGAGTTAAGTTTCAGACTTGAAGGGTGACCAAGAGCCACAATCTTAAGAGTTCTACCAGCCTCTTTCCATCTCTTCTCAGTCATGCCAGGTCACAGTAACTGCAACTGCCTGTCTGATGGGGAATGGAAGATAATTCATGTTGTTGGCAAAATACATGAATCGTAGCTATAACACAAGAGTTCATCAGCCAGTAGGATAATTATTAAAACCGTAGAGATGAATGGTTTTCCATACATTATCTGAATCAGAATCATTGGGATTGGGCCAATTATTTCACTTCTTTCGGTGAAAATTTATACAACAAATTAGGTTCCCTCTTGTAAATCGCTGTATAGTGATTTAACATTGTATAATGAGCTCTGGTAGCGAAATGGTTATGAATCGGGCTGCGAACCTTTAAGGTCAGCAGTTCAAAACTAGCATCTGTTCTGTGGGAGAAAGATGAGGCTTTCTGATCCCGTAAAGATTTACAACTTCGGAAACCCTTTGCAGGATCGCTATGAGTCGGAACCAACTCCACGGCACATAACAACAACAATGTGTTAGCATTATCTTTAATTGGGTTCTTTTTCCAATACTCTAGTTTCTCTGTCCTTTATCTTCTCAACTTTGCTTTTGAGTAAATTTTGATCTTCTGGTCTCAGGTGGTTATTTAATAGAGCACTGTACTCACAGGTAGGAGCTCTGGTAGCGTAGTGGTTACGAATCAGGCTGCGAACCGCAAGGCCAGCAGTTCAAAACTACCAGCTGCTCCATGGGAGAAAGATGAGGCTTTCTGCTCCTGTAAAGATTTACAGCCTTGGAAACCCTGTACAGGGTTGCTGTGGGTCGGAACCAACTCAACGGCACTTAACAACAACAATAATACTCACAGGTAAGGAGCTTTGGTAGCGTAGTGGTTATGAGTCGGGCTGCTAACCTCAAGATCACCTAGTTCAAAACTACCAGCGGTTCTGTGGGAGAAAGATGAGGCGTTCTGCTCCCATAAAGATTTATAGCCTTGGAAACCCTATTCAGGGTCACTGTGAGTTGGAACCAATTCCATGGCACACCACCACTACCACCAGCATACTCAACAGGTAATAATCCTTTATTTTGTGTGCCATTTTGTTATTTTGCTAAATGGTGATCTCGGGATAGTTTCTCAAGGCAGTAGCCCTCAGGGAGTCTTTTAGTGTCATCTGCTCCAATAAGTATGGAGTTTTTAAGAATCTGAGTTCTGGGTGCCTAACTACCACCTCTGACTACTCTGAAAGGAATTATTCTATAGGAGGTCCTGGATAGAGAGGGAGGGAGAAAGACGTGGAACAAAACTCAAAATCTTAAGACTTAAGAAAGACGTGGAACAAAACTCAATCTAGAGACTGGTGAAGCCCCCAAGACTTTGGTCTTATTTA